CTGGGATTACAGGCACGCGCCACCATGCCCAGCTAATTTTTCGTATTTTTAGTAGAGACGGGGTTTCACCATGTTGACCAGGATGGTCTCGATCTCTTGACCTCGTGATCCACCCGCCTCGGCCTCCCAAAGTGCTGGGATTACAGGCTTGAGCCACCGCGCCCGGCAATCTTATTTTTTTTTTTCTTTTTCTTTTTTTTTCTTATTTATCTGGGGACAATCAGTGTAAGAGACTTAATAGAGAAGCATAAGCCAAGGCATTATGCCAAATGAAGAAAGCCCATCTCAAAAGGGAACATGCTGTGTGATTTCATTTACATGACATTCTTGAAATAACAAAATGAGAGAAGGAAACAAAAGCAGAGAGAATTGTGGTTTCTGGGATTAGGAACGGTGGAGATAAGCAAGGAGGTGTGAGCAGAACCAGGCAGCATGAAGGGACCTCTGGATGAGGAAACAGCTCTGTATCACTGCAGCGAGGGCTACGAGAGCCCACGTGTGTGACAGAATGACCCTGGTCCCCACAGCACGGTACCAACATGGAGTCCTGGTTTTGGTAGGGGAATTTGATGATGGCAAAACCAGGTGACGGGTACACAGACCCTCTTTGTACCTTCCTGTGAACCTACAGTTATTTCAGATAAAAAGAGGTGTGTTTTTAAAAGTAAGCCAAAGGAAAAATTTCAAGGGCCAAATTTGGGTAGCACAGTTTGTAAGCAGATTCCAAAGATAACAGATTTCTTCAAACTTATTTGTAGTCAGCCAGCTGTGACTGTGTGCATAGGATCCCTACGGACCATGTACTTGAGCTGCGTTCATGTTTGTCAGTGCTGTAGTGACTGGAAGCCTGGATCCAATGTTACCAGTTACTGCATTCCTTACCAAAGTCACTGTCATCATCCACAAGGATGACCTCATGAAGCAGTTGTGCTGGCGTGCGGTCTACGACACTGTGCACCGTCCGAAGCAGGGCAGAAAAAGCTTCATTGTAGAAACAGATAACAACACTAGCAGCCGGCAGATCAGGTGGGTAGAACTTTGCTTTACATCTGTAAAAATGAGGAAATTCTGACATTTTAAAAGGCTCAGGTGTTTATTATTCTGTACACATTCACTGTCCCCTTGTTCAGCCTCTTTCTAACATTACAATAACAATTTTTTAAAAATCATTTACAAAAACAATATGGTTTCTTCTTCAAGAGTTTTATGTTTTGTTAATAATGTCTCCCTCCTATACCCGCTATCTTGCTTACTTTTGGATAGACACTTTTTAAACATCAGGGTTTTTTTTTTTTCTTTTTTGGAAGAGAGGTTACATAAAAATGTGAATTCTTTTTACCAAAATCACTGCAAGTGTTTCATGCAGCACTCGTGAGCTGAGATGTCCAGTTTCTCCTCAGAGAGGTTTCAAAAGGAAACAGAAATATAAAGTTTTTATTTGAAGTTTTATTTTTTGCCCAATAATTAAAAAGATGTGAATAAATTATGATGGTAACAGATAATAGAAGAGCTTCTATGTATCAAATCATCCCAAGTAACTATTTGATAAAAAGGTTAGGAGCTTTAAGCAACATCAAAAAGCCATGAACTGGCCGGTGCAGTGGCTCATGCCCATAATCTCAGCACTTTGAGTGGCCAAGGAGGTCAGGAGTTCAACATGGTGAAACTCTGTCTCTCCTAAAAGTACAAAAATTAGCCAGGCATGGTGATGGGCACCTGTAGTCCCAGCTACTCAGGAGGCTAAGGCAGGATAATCACTTGAACCTGGGAGGCAGAGGGTGCAGTGAGCTGAGATCTCACCACCACACTCCAGCTTGGGCAAGAGTAAGACTCCATCTCAAAAAAAAAAGTGTGTGGGGGCGGGGGGCGTGAACTTAGAAAACACAATCCAGAGCCCTGAATTCTTTCCCAGGGCACACAGCCCTCTAGCATCTGAGCCCTGCCTCTGTCCAGCCTTGTCACCTCTCTGCAGGACCCTCCTGACCACTCCAGGTCTATGCCCCCATTTCCCCAAACCCTATCATAGCCCTTATTCACATGCTACTGCCAGGACTTGCTGACTTATTTGCCTCCCCTGCTAGACTCTGAGCCCTAAGAACTCAGGACCTACTACATGTGTTTCTGTTTGTTCCAGGGCTCAATAGAGTGTGTAGCAAACAGAAGGTACTCAACAAATGTCTGTCTGTGGAATGACTGACCACATGCATGGAAAGCCTTTGATGGAACAAAAATAATGAAAGAAAAGTGAAATTGAGAGTAACATTCTTCACTGACTTTAATTCCTATTTGCTGTGAATCCAATCAATAAACATTCAGAAGAAACTTATACTCAGGTTACTTAGTTAGCCCCCTACCCCTCTTTCCCAGATGATCTGAAATGTCAAAGGAGACAAAGCAAGCCCTAGGACTCTGTGGTCCATCTCAGACCACGTGGCTTCACATTTGACACAAGTGGAAATCTGTCTCAAGTTTCCTAGTATGCTGAATAAAGATGCTGCATTGCTGGCTCAAGCCTGTAATCCCAGCACTTTGGGAGGCCGAGGCGGGTGGATCACGAGGTCAAGAGATCGAGACCATCCTGGTCAACACAGTGAAACCCCGTCTCTACTAAAAATACAAAACATTAGCTGGGCATGGTGGCGCGTGCCTGTAATCCCAGCTACTCAGGAGGCTGAAGCAGGAGAATTGCCTGAACCCAGGA